GTGTATCGGAGCGCAAAGGCGAAAAAAGACATCAGAAAAAGGAAAGAAGTAAGGTGGGAAAGCTCCGCCTGTTCATCACCTCTTACGTACAAGGCCGGCCACGTGGATGATGGTTGAGCACCGGCTGCCCCCATCCTCACGTGTGTCACAAGGGCCCACTTGCACGCAGCCAAAAGGCAAAAAAGTGGTAAAGAAAAGGAGGGAGGAGGAAACCAAACCTCACTTGTAGGACAGATACAGATAAAGCTTTCGACACTACCAACAGATACGGAGTACCAATCCAAATCCAAATCCAAATATAATCAAGAGTAAAAGAAACGGAACCTCAACAGAGGGCCCGCAATATACAGATGTCATTCCACATCAGGAAGAAATGGCCGACAAGATAAAAGAAAACGGAAAAAAATAAAACAAAAGAGGAAAGGTAAAATCTGCCAAAAGGAAGAGCATGCGCCTGGTACTAGTACAGGCCCGACGCTAGGCGCATCATCTGCAAGACATAAGTATATGCATGAAAATTTATATACAAATAAATATAACAATATATTTATATTAGATCTGGATATATATACATTAAGGGTGAGGAATCGGAATGGGGAGCATGATACAAGAACGGTCAAAACTATAAAACACGACGTTTAAGGAAAGTGTATGGTGATGAATGAACACGTGTCATGTATATATTATATATTTATAGCTCTGATATCATGTGACAATATATAGGTATGGTTTCGACGGTCGACAAGAGATTGATAAGGTAGTGGAAAGGAGGGGGGTGTTTGGGGGTTTGCATTCTTTTTTTTTTTTTTTTTGGGTTTGCATTCTGTGGTCGGGCTATTTGGTGTGTGGGAATTTTGGCCGTGAAGAGAGGCGAGTTTTTTTTTTTTTTTTTTTTTTTTTTTTCCCCTGAGAGAGGCGAGTTGACGGCACTGGTTTGGATACTTTTGAAGTAGGAAAAATAAATTTGTCCATGTGCTGGTTGTGGTTTGATCGCTGGGAAAAAGCGAAATTCCCAAAAAAAACAAAACAAAGAGAAGAGTTTGCTGTGTCCTACCCGTACCATTTTTGTCTCCCCTCTTTGTTGGTGTGTCTTACCTATTCTGTCCAATCGAGAATACGAGAACTGTGTGGGTTATCATGAATCTATGATGCTTAATGTGTAGTATAGATAGATAAATATAAATAGGTGAAGTGGTGCGAGAAGCCGGTATGCAAATCTGGAAAGAAATCCCTATAGAATTCTGAGATTTTTACGTCACCATTTACATACCCTAATATTTATTCAATTTCTCTCTCTGGTCTGTAGGTGAGAATTTTTTCTCAATCAACACCCTCCATAAATCTCTCCCTCTCTCTCACTGACATGTCTCTCTCTCTCTCTCTCTCTCTCTCTCTCTCTCTCTCTCTCTCTCTCTCTCTCTCTCTCTCTCCC